TTATTTAACAACATATAAAAATTATATGAAAAAGATAAAAAAAATAAATTTTCTAATGTCACCCAATAAATAAATAAAAGCGGGAGTTGAAAAATTGACGCGCTTTTTAATTTCCCTCGTCGTTAACGAACAATTTCTACACATTTGACAATCTCTAATCCTCTCTTCGTTTGTCTTCTTCACGCTGCTACGTTCTCGCCATTTTCTCATCGGTAATTTCTAACTTAATCTCTCTTCTTGTTCCTTCATTTTTTTTCCCTTTACATTTCTGTTTCTTTAGTAATCATTTGGCTAAATTTCCATGGTTATGGTGTTGTTCTTGTTGTTGTCTTTTGTTGGTTGTTGCTGTTGCTTCGCATGTTAGGGTTTCTTTCCTCTTCTGTTTTTTTTTTTTTTGGGGTTTCAGAATTCGAAATTGGATATTTTACTTTCGATTGCTTTAGATTTCTTGATAATCTGATGTGTTTGAGAAGCGTTTTGTTTTGTACGGCGTTTGGATCTAACCGATTCTTGTTCTGATGAACTGAATTTATGTAATTCGAATGAAAACACTTCGAATTTCCAATTTTATGAGTAGGATTTGATTTCTACGGTTCCTAATGGGGTATAGTAGGAGATGGGTTTCTCTTAACTTGCTGCTGGGGGTCAGTGCGCATATCATGGTAGTTGTTAGGAAACTAAGCTATGGTCTGGACCATGAAGTGAAAGGTGTGTTGTTGAGCTCATGGGATGTAGGTAATTGACATTGAATTTTGTTGTTGATTTTATCTGATACTGCTTTGGTTGTGACTGCTTGTTTAGTTTTCTTTGAGACTTGGTGTTTCTTGTTAGTTTTTCAATGAAGCTTTTTATGACAATATGACATGGACTATGTGACACCAAGGGATGGTTTTCTTATACCTTAGTATGTATGTTTTGTTGTCAAAATGGATTGATGTGTCTGAAAATGTACTTATGATTTAGAGGGGAATTATATGATACAGGTAATTTTTGATGGGTTGGAAGGGGGAAGCTGGGAAGTTGACATTTGATTTTAGGCCTATTTTCATTTATGGAAATATGAAACAATAATATAAGAATAAGAAGGAACTGGGAAGTGGGGGATGGCTTAAGGATACCCTTGATATTTATTCCCCTCATTCAAGAGACTGATACATTGCTGTGCAATTTTGGAGAATTGACATGCTTTTCTTTTGTTGCTGCAATTTTTTATGGCAATTGCTGTGCTACTCGGTTGCCTATCTTCTTCAAGTTGAGCATTACAGACTAAATCTGAGTTTCTGCATGCAGAACTGTTAGATTCATTTTATGGATAAGACAATTTGTGGCAAGGAGAGACTGGAAGAAGTGACACGAGAGTCACTCATTGCCATCTCTTACGCTGAACCAGACAAAGTTCTTGCTTCAGAACTCTCACCAGAGGACTTGAATGGTGAAAAGCTGGTTGAAGGTGAAGACCCTGATGGAACAGACAAGTACAGATCAGAGTTAATCTCCATATCCTATCCCAAGTCACCTGACATTGAAGGCTCACCAGTTACAAAGGAGGAGGATCACTTTTGATTTCCATTTGGGCTTACTTTCTGTTTCTTGCCTCCTTACCCATCTTCAGGGAGGTGGGGGAGGGGTTTTGGACCTCTTTAATGGCTGCCTGTAATCTTTCCTGGCTTATATTCACTGTGGTATAAAACTCTTCAGACTGTGTTGATATTGTATCTATATTACAGATGCTTCAAGTGCATCTTCTATATTTGATTCACGATTGCTAGCTGTATGAACCTTAGACTCTGCTATCAGAAAATGAACTTTGCTCCTTCCATGAATGAATGTATCATCTTTCTAAATGGTTCTTTCCCTTTAGCAGCTGTAGGGATTTTTATTTTTATTTTTTTTTTGTGAAATGCAGTATTTTGTGTTGCTTGATTATGCACACAGGGCCAAGGCTAGTGCTGTTATTTTCAGTAGCATGGTGCACTGGCTGAACTGCATAGCTGTTTCTTTTACTTGATGAGCCAGATTGGAACTGACTAATCTTCAGCTGCTGCAAGTTTGGTAATTTATAACTATGATCCTGTCCAATAAACAATGGTAAGGGTATGGAACTATGGATTTCTCCGCCTATATCGTGCATCCACTTTGTAGAAGTCAAAGGAAGTTGTGTCTTTGCTTTGCTGCCATCACAATATCCCTTCCAGGTAAGATCTCACCTCTTTCCCTCAAGTTCTTAGGTCTATTGTTTATAAATATGAAAATGGTAGGTGTGGCAACTTTTTGGGTTCTAGTAGATGGTATTGGGAAACCCCAGAATGAAATCAGTAAGATACTTAGATATGGTGGAGAGTTTTACTTTTCTTTCTTGTCAGCTTGGATAGTAAATATAAATTTGATTAGTGATGGTGTAAAAACGTTTACATTGAATTGGAATATTTATATCTGAAAACTTAAATCTTTTTCAGTTATAGCAAGACATCCATTGGGACACATGACATACTGTGCTTGAAGACATATAGAAGCATTCTTTATGTTAGTGTTGGGCCTCTGATACATCTTCGTCATGTTGTTATAAAACTTTAAAACTAGGATACTAACCTCAGACTAAACATTACACAGAAAGTATGTGTTGGATTTGTTCTTCGCCTGCTTGGCTCTATCTGCTTTCGTTTTCCCCTGCACCACCTTCCTCTTCGTTCCTTTTCATCATATTTTCTTCTCTCCTTCCCCCAATAATCATCCTCTTTTTTTTCTAAAAAGAAAATATATTAATTATTATTTTTTTGTGTGTTGATTATTGGACGGCGTTGTACGTTTGCATGTCCATTCTTCATCTATCCTGGACCACCCAATCCCTCTTGGGTCCTAGTACTGCTTTATTCTCTGCTTTTTTCTGATCCTTGCTTTTCGTAAGTTATTCTTTCAACACTTTGAGAGAATTCGAGCTTGCTGATTAAGAGAACCGAGCTAGAGGCTGGTTGGAGTAACATTTAGCCTAATGTAAGCTCATTCAAATCAGCAAGCGAGGCTCAGTTGAGCAGGGCTCATTCAATAAACAAACGAGCTTGAGCTAGAGTAACAAAGATACGTTGGAATTCTGACTAGACTCACGACATCCATTCGTAGTGAAACCCAAAAGATATATTTCCATAATAGGAGCAGACAAGTCATTACTTAGTGATTTTGAAATCTTAGTTTAAAATAAAGGTATCACAATGTCAGCTGTACAACAAATTATTAAAAGTGGTTGTTATATTGCGTCAAACATATAATCTAGTAGCGTAAATTCTTTTTTTAAAATTAATGATATCTTATATTGAACTTGATAAACCAATTAATTAGTGAAGTCTTCTTTTTCATCCTCTAAATGTTGAATTCAATGACACTACATCATGTCAACTTCATAACAAGTTAACAAAAGTAGTTGTTATATCATGTCAAACATATAACATTGTATTATAAATTTTTCCTAAAATCAAAGACATTTTGCATTTAATCTGGTAGACGAATTGGTTGATGCAGCCTTCTTGTCCTAGTCCCAAGTAATGGGTGTAATGGCACTACCAATAACAAGTTATTATAAGTGGCTGTTATTTCATGTCATATATATATATATATAAACATTGTATTATAGAATTTTTTTCACAAAAATTAAGACATCTTGCACTGAACCTGGTAGACGTAATGGTGGGTGCGCCATCCTTGTCCCTGCTCCAAGATTTTGGTTCAATTCCTCGCTCCACAAGTTTTAATGGTCTAGCCCAAAAAAATTCAGAAACATCTTTATTAATATCTTGACAACAGAACCCCACTTAAGGGCACAGCTTGAAGCCAATGTTAACACCAATCTTTGCTGAAAATAGTTATATTCATTTATGACTATATGAGATTCTAATTTAAATGATGGCAAACCGATTGAATCCAAAACCTTTTTTCAATATTAAACACACAGTAGCAAATTGAGAATAAGACAACAAACGGATATTTAAGCCGGCGAACGAAACCCTTCTCTGTCCATATTTTATCTCCTCCTTTCTTATAATCTTGTCTTCTTCATTTCCTTCTTTCCTTTTATATACTCCCAATTTCTAAACGTTCAATCATCCTCCCAATTTCTGGTTTTCTCCAATGGAGGTGGGTTCCGTGTGGTTGGCGGCCGTGGTGACCATAATAGGTGGGTTTGTGATGGCTCTGAGATGGCTGCTGAAGAGAGTCAATTGGTTGCTTTATGAAGCCAAGTTGGGTGATAAGCAGTACGCTCTGCCACCGGGGGATTTAGGGTGGCCTTTCATTGGAAACATGTGGGCTTTCCTCCGAGCATTCAAGTCCTCCGATCCCGATTCCTTCATCGGCTCCTTTGTCGACAGGTACACTCTGCTTAATTCCTTTTTATTTTCTTGGGGTTCTTCATCTTCAAGAAAATGCATAAAAAATGTAGGTGGGTAGGTGGCGAACTCTGTACCTAGTGCCTAATGGTTCAGATAACGTCATGGCATACGTTTGGGGGCTGAGAAAAATTGTTCTACTTTTGGCTTTTTTGAGGGTTCTTTTTCTTCTTCTTCTTCTTTTTATTTTTATTTTTTTGTGGTTTGGCGTTTTTACTTTTTATCGTAATCGCCAGTAGAATTTAGAAAACAACGGCGCAGGGCCATGATCTGGCCTGCAGCAGAGGCTCCATTTCTCCGCCGTTGTATGGAAAGTTGGTAACAGACACAAACAGAAAACATGTTGGTGTTTGGCGGCACTCAACTGACCCCCACCTCACTTCTTGGACACTTGCACCGCAACTATATTTTTTTTTAATATTGTCCTTCTTGTTTTATTCTTTTCTTCGTTTACATATTTCATTTTCTTTACCAGGACCACACCACACTCTTACGTCTGACACGAGTAATTTTTTTTTGGTATTTTAAAATTTGAGCCAATGAATGCCTTTTGCCGACTGCAGGTAGTACTTATTTATTTTCTTTATGGTAAGGAGGGTGGGGAAGAGATGAGCAAGATTATGACCCCAGTAAGAATATTAGTCATTAAAATTATAAAATATTATTTTTAAAATATTAATTTTATATTAATAAAATAATTATTAATTAATAAGTATATAATATTTAATATTTATTAATTGAAAATTTAAAATTAATTAGTAAAGTAATATTTTTAAATGTTATTTAAGAAACAACCGAAATTTTAGTATTTTTAACAATTTTTTTATGGTAGTAAAATAACCACACCCAAAGAGATGGAGAGGGGAATTTCAAGTTTCGAATCTTATGCTTTAGGCACTATCTTTCAAAGCAATTGGCCAATTACGTGCACATGACTCATAAGTAGTCTATGATTTGTAATTTACATTAATTATAGTTTATTTAAGGAGTGGATTACCATCAAACTACTAGAATAGATTAGACATTACATTCTAACAAATCTAATACCAAAAAAAAAAGGGTAAGGTTGGCCAAAACTAGAGAAAGTCTGTTCGCAACTTTAAAAAAAAAAAAAATTCTAAAAATATGAGTGGTTGTGATAATGAAGATGTTGAAATAATTCCTACATGTAACTTCTAATGGATGGGACTGCAAATTTTGTTAAAAATCAAGGATTCCGAGAAGAAGATGGAATGAAAATCCAAATCTCACTAAACTGAAAATAAACTAGCCTTTAAATATGCTTTACAAGATAACATTATTTAAAAAAAATAACTAATCAATCTTATCTAATCTAATTTAAATTATAACAACCTAAAATAAATAAATAACTTAAACTTCCTAAATTATAGAGATAATGGCTAAATAATAGGATCTAAGTTCCAACAATCCCTCCCTTAAACTGAAAGTCTTCAGACTTTAGTTTAAAGAAATTTGGATAACACCATGTCTGCAATCTAGAATCTACAGACCTTCCCTCAAACTGAATTTTGCATGCTGCAAACACCAAGTAACTCTCTCAGTTTTGAAAAAACTGCTACTTTGAAGGGTTTTGTAAATATATCAGCCACTTGATCTTCTGTTCTGCAATAAGTCAACTCAATTGTTCCATTTTCTACCAAGTTGTGCAAGAAATGATACCTCGCATGTATATGCTTGCTTCTCCTATGCAAAATTGGATTTTTAGAAAGCTTGATAGATGAACTGTTGTCACAATAAATTGAAGTGGCCTTATGTTGATTCAGCTCAAGTTCTTCTAGAACTCTTCTCAACCAAATAGCTTGACAAGCACAAGAAGTCGTTGCCACATACTTTGCTTCTATTGTGGACAAAGTCACAATGGGCTGCTTCTTTAAAGGCCACGAAACTGCCCCAGATCCAAACATAAAAACAAACCCAGAAGTGCTTTTTCTGTCATCTAGATCTCCTGCATAATCATTGTCTATAAAACCTGTGAGTTTGGTCACCTTTCTTGTAGAATAGTCCAAAATCTACAGTTCCATGTAAATACTTGAGAATTCTTTTAGCAGTCTGCAAGTGCAACTCCTTTGGATGCTCTATATAGCTGCTAATAAGACTTACACCATGCATTATGTCTAGTCTTATTGTTGTCAAATACATCAAACTTCCAACAATCTACTTATACAGCTTGTTGTCCACTGATCTGTCTCCTGGATCTTTCACGAGCTTTACACCTTTATCAACTGGTGTAGTGATAGAATTGTAGTTCTTCATTTGAAATCTATTCATAACTTCCTCCATCTCCAAATTTGATGTAAAGTGTATGCTTATAAGGGCACTTCTGAAAGCCTTCCTTCAACAAATAAGCATCAATTCGACTGTACCAAGCTCTAGGTGCTTGTTTTAGTCCATATAATGCTTTCTTCAATCTGTAAACCTTATGTTCAAAACCATATTTCACATAACCAGGAGGTTGATCAATAAATACATATTGTTGCAGATTTCCATGTAAGAAGACTGATTTCACATCAAGTTGGTAAATCGGCCATGAGTTCTGTGTTGCCAAAGCAATCACCAATCTAATGGTGTCCATCCTTGCAACTTAAGCAAAAACTTCTTGATAATTAATGCCAAACTCTTGCTTGTAACCCTTTGCCACTAAGTGAGCTTTGAATTTGTCAACCTCCCCATTTTCTTTGAGCTTTGTCTTGTAGATCCACTTAACACCAATTGTCTTATGCCCTTCTGGAAGATCTATCAACTCCCAAGTCTGGTTCCTTTCAATAGAACCAATTTCTTCTGCCATGGCTTTTCGCTACTTTTCTTCTTTAACAGCTTCTGCATATGTCAATGGATCACAATCTACAAATAGACCAAAATGAGTGACTGGAACATCATCTTGAGGTAGATCTGTTACCTTATAATCCTCCAACCATGTTGATCTTCTCTTTTTGCGTTGAGGTCATGAACTAGTTCCAAATTCCAATTTTGGTGTTGATGGCAGACTTCCTCCAATACTAAGTTCTGCTGCTGCAGGCAGACTTTCTTCAACTATTTGTCTTGAAACTTTGAGATCTGTTGAAGTTAAACCTTCAGTCTGCTGTGTCTGACCTTTTGAGTTCTTCATAGTTAGATTTTCTCCATTTTCGAAATTTGCAAGAATCTGTCGCCCAGATTTTTCTGTTCAAGACCAAGTGCTTGCTTCATCAAACATTACATCACGGCTAATGATGACCTTCTTCGTTAAAGGATTGTATAATCTGTAAGTTTTGGATTGATCACTAAAACCAAGGAAAATACAGTTTTCCCCTTTGTCATCAAGCTTACTCCTTTTCTGATCTGACGCGCATATGCTATACACCCAAAAATTCTGAAGTAGTCAACAACAGGTCCGCATCCACTCCAAGCCTTTTCTGGTGTCATATCTGGAAGTGGAGATGTGGGACTTCTGTTCAAGATATGAACACTCCAATTAACAGTTTTTGGCCAAAACTCTTTAGGTGAGCCACTCTTTGACATCAGATTTTGGACCATATTCATGATTATGCGATTCCTCCTCTCACATGCACCATTTTGCTGGGGTGTATAGGTTATTGTGAATTGTCTTTTAATACCATTGGACTCACAAAAATCTACAAACTCCTTTGAGTTAAACTCACCACCACTATCTATATGCAAAACCTTTATAGATCTGCTAGCCTCATTCTCAGCCAATACTTTGAAATTTTTAAAAGCTGCTAGGGCTTCTGACTTGGTCTGCAAAAAATACACCCATGTTTTGTGACTGTAATCATCAACAAAGGTAATAAAGTATTGTTTACCTCCATTGGATGTTGGATTCATGGGTCCACACAGATCAGAATGAACCAGATCTAGCACTCACTTTGTTCTCCAAGATCTGTCTTTAGGAAAGCCATCACGGTGCTGTTTATTGACCACGGAGATTTCACAAATTTCTGAAGGAGAATCAAAATGAGGAAGACCATTTATCATCTTCTTTTGCTGCAAAGCTTTCAACCCACCAAAATAAAGATGTACATATCAGCAATGCCATAACCAAGCTATGTCCTTTAATTTGGCAGATAAACATGACAAATTTACAGTTACAAGTATAATGGAAACAACTTATTTCCTATCATCTTGGCCTTGGCAATCAAGCCAAGTTTTGAATCACAAACTTGGCAAACTCCATCTTTAATTAGGATTTCATATCCTTTCTCTTGAAGTTGTCCCAGACTAAGCAGATTCGACTTCAAATCTGGTACATACAAAACATTAGCAATAGTTTGAATTGAATTGTCTTTGGCACGAATGGTTACCTTTCCCCTTCCTTTGACTGCAATAGTGGAATTATCACCAAATTTCCCCTTGTCTTGACAAGACTCATCCAGATCTGAAAACGCAAATTTGTCTCCACACATGTGGTTGCTGCAACTAGTATCTAGATACCACACATTCTTCTTGCTAACTTCTTTAGGATGATAGACCATGAATAGAGAGGAATCATCATTCTTCTCATTATGTTTTGCAAAATTGGAACTTTTTCCTCTATTCAGATTAGCACAGCACTCAGAATGATAGTGGCCATACTTATGACATCTGAAGCATTCAATATTTGCCTTGCCTACAGATTGGGTTTTGTTATCTACAACTTGATAATTTCTGTTCTGCCACCTCTTTTGATTTCCAGGGGCTAAACTTTCCTCTAGCTTTCCAGGTCTCAGTTTGACAAATTTCGATCTACCTTTCCAGTTTTCCTTTCCTTGACCTACAACCCTTGAATTTACTATGGTCTGCAAGGCTTGTGTCTATGAAATCTGCATTACTTGCTCTTGCTTGTCTTGGCGATTTATCTTCCGCTCATGAATTAACAACGAGTTCTGCAACTCATCAAAGGAAAGTGCCTCAATATCATTCGACTCCTCAATGGAACAGACAACATAATTGAATTTTGTTGTCATAGACTGAAGGATTTTCTCAACTATGGCAACATCCTTCAGATTTTCACCATGGATCTTCATATTGTTTGCAATTGCCATCGTCCTTGAAAAATAATCATCTACAGATTCACCAATCTACATTTGCAGACTTTCAAATTCTGCTTGCAAAGCCTGACGCTGCTGCCGCTTTGCTCTTTCATTCCCTTGGTACTTCTTCTTCATGGAATCCCAAATAGTCTTGGAAGTAGACTTGTTAAGAATTGTTTCCAAGATAACACAATCTATGGCTTGGAACAAATAGTTCTTAGCCTTGAGATCTTTCAACTTTTCCTTCTCAATTTTTGCCCTCTGTGCAACATTTGCACCTACTGTTGGTTCTGGAACTCCAGATTCAACAATAGTCCAATACTCTTTGGACCGAAGAAAATTCTCCATTAACATACTCCAAAGGTCGTAGTGATGACCATCAAAATGAGGGATTGAGGGCTAAACATAATTTTCGAAAGCCATGGAATTTGCTAGGAATAGGCTCTAACACCAAATGTTAAAAATCAAGGATTCTCAAGAAGAAGAAGATGGAATGAAAATCCAAATCTCGCTAAACTGAAAATAAACTAGCTTTTAAATAGGTTTTACAAGATAACATTATCTAAAAAGATAACTAACCAATCTTATCTAATCTAATTTAAATTATAACAACCTAAAACAAATAAATAACTTAAATTTCTTAAATTATAGAGGTAATGGCTAAATAATAGGATCTAATTTCCAACAAATTTTTCATGCTTCACTTTTTAGAAGCAAGTTGTTTACCTTGGATGTTGAAATAAGAATGGAGCCGGTAGAGCAGGTTTTTCTCATGCTTGAACTTTTTTACTTTCCAAAATGGCAGAATACTCAAATCCACCCCCAAAATATAGTAGTAGGAACGAATCCACCTCCCAACAAAAAACAAGGACAAATCCACCCACAAAGTTTTTGACTTGGACAAATCACTCCAAATTTAACGTATAACGTCATTTGACATCAACAATATGTTAATTTAACGTCATCTAACGACAGCAATCCATTAACAAATTAACAGATTGCTAATGTTAGATGATGTCACACGTTAAATTTGTGGTGATTTATCCAAGTCGAAAATTTTGTGGGTAGATTTATCCTATTTTTTGTTCGGGGGTGGATTTGTCCCTACCACTATACTTTAGGGGTGGATTTGGGTATTTTGCCTTCCAAAATTTTGAGGCCTTAATGGTCCCCGCCGTCTCTGTTTCACTCTCATGTCAAACGAAACTTCTTTTCATGTATTATCATTAATCAAGATTGGTTCCCTTTGCCTATGAAGTAGTATTGGTTTAGTGATTAAGAATAAGATTAATTTAACAAATCATTTATTAACTTTTATAGTCTTTACAGTTTCATCTATTATCTTTAAATTTTGTCTATTATTTTTCACATTTATTTCAATTTCATTTGTTCGTTATTTTTTAGGAAATGTCAGTTATCTTTAACGGAATTTTCTTATTTGATAAGAAAATATTTAGTCATCTAACTATATTTCTTTTGATTTTTTAGTCCTTAAATTTATATTCACCGTAAAAATAATTTTATTTTTATTTTACTAAATGTGTTCTTCAAAAGACTGTTTTACAGAGTAAACTATATGCAGTCTGCCTCGTGAAATTATTTAAATATCCTTAATTTTATTTTTATATTATTTTTTTAGAGACATTTAAATAATTTTTCAAGACATACTGCATATAATCTACCATATAAAATAGACTTACTCTTAAAACTTCTCGTTCTAAACTTATAAATTTCTCTGTTTGAATTGAGCTAGCTAGTTGCTCAAATTTGTTATAAATTTTAACTAATATATCTCTATAAAATATTTTTTTATAAAATATTTTTTGAGTCATTATATTTTATTAGAATTATAGTGTTATTTTTTCAAAACTTAAAGGACTATTATTTCCATTAAATCTAACAAAATTTTGTACGATAAACTATTTTGAAATATTTTCAAAATTTACAGACCATTTAAAAAGAAATAAACTTTCTAGATTAAAATAAAATTAAGTTGATAGTTCGTAAACTAAAAATTGAATTAAGCCATTAAGAATATGATGAGTATTGAAAAATCCCAAGCTCGAAAAAGATTGATTTCCTTTTTATGGAAGTTTTCATCCTTTGTGCTTCTCCACTGTTCATTTCAGTGGTATCACTTTGATTGAGTCTAAATGCAGATTTGGGCGCACTGGAATGTACAAGGCCTTTATGTTTGGGAACCCAAGCATAATTGTTACATCACCGGATTCCTGCAGGAGAGTGTTAACAGATGATGAAGCTTTTAAGCCTGGATGGCCAATCTCCACCGTGGAGCTTATTGGGAAGAATTCATTCATTGGCATTTCTTATGAAGAGCACAAGCGTCTCCGGAGAATAACTGCAGCTCCAGTCAATGGCCATGAAGCATTGTCGATCTACTTGAAATACATTGAAGATAATGTTTTATCTGCCTTGGAGAAATGGACCAAGATGGGAGAAATTGAATTCTTGACTGAACTCAGAAGGCTCACTTTCAAGATTATAATGTACATTTTTCTCAGCTCAGAGAGCGAGCTGGTATCTGAGGCCTTGGAGAAGCAATACACTGCCCTTAATCTTGGTGTTAGGGCTATGGCAATCAATGTCCCAGGATTTGCTTACCACAAAGCTCTTAAGGTAAGGTTTCAAATAAGTTATATATGTTCCATGAACTGAAACTTTGGATTTGCTCTTAGATTTGATTACTAGGTATTGCGTTAGAGTTGGAATAACATTGTATCTTTTGCTCAGGCTAGGAAGAATCTTGTAGCTATATTACAATCCGTGGTGGATGAGAGAAGAGAGCAAAGGAAATGCAATAATGTGACAAAGAAGAGGGACATGATAGATGCTCTGATGGATGTTGAAGATGAAAATGGTAGAAGATTGTCTGATGAGGAGATCATTGATATTCTGGTAATGTACCTAAATGCAGGCCACGAATCTTCTGGACATACCATGATGTGGGCAACTATTTTCCTACAAAAACATCCAGAATTTTTGCAAAAAGCTAAGGTACAAGAATTCAGATATGTTCTTACTTTCTTGTGTCAGCAATAAACAGTCGAGCAAATTAAGACAAGTTTCTTGTTCATTTCCCTTGATGTTTGGTTTAAATGCTTAGTATTCCCAATGGTTCTCAGACTCCTGGTTTTTAACAACATTGTCCTATATTACAGGAAGAGCAAGAGAGGATCATTAGAAACCGCCCACCAACACAAAAGGGGTTGACCCTAAAGGAATTTCGAGAAATGGAGTATATCTCCAAGGTACAATACGCCTGTCAGTTCCGTTAAGCTTTTACCTCATTTCTTCGGAAATGTTTCCACTGAATTCTTTGTTTTAATCTTTTGACTTTGGAAGGTGATCGATGAAACACTTCGTGTGATAACATTCTCACTTACAGCCTTCCGAGAGGCAAAACAGGATGTCAACATAAGTGGTCAGTTCATATTCTATACCAATATATAATATGGAGGTATCCCATGAGATGTTTCAATTCACCAGATGCAATGGCTTTCAGGTTATACCATTCCTAAGGGATGGAAAGTTTTGATCTGGTTCAGGGGAGTTCACTTGGATCCTGAAATTTATCCTGATCCTAAAGAATTTGATCCTACAAGATGGGAAGTGAGTTTTCTCTAGATCAATGCATGTGTCCAATATATATATCTATGCTATAAAATGTATAAGAAAGAGCAAAACTGTATTAACACTCTTAAAATTAAGTGTAGGGTTTTACACCAAAAGCAGGAAGTTTCCTCCCCTTTGGAGCAGGAAGCAGGCTCTGCCCTGGAAATGATCTAGCCAAACTCGAAATTGCTGTATTTCTTCACTATTTTCTCCTTAGCTATGAGTGAGTTATTTCGATGTCAACTTACTAACATTTTATTTTTATTAACTAAATACATCTTTAGCACAAAATATACATGTTACTTTCTATGACAATAGATTTTTGTTCTTTGATTTTGCAGGCTGGATCGGATTAATCCCCAATGTCCCACAAGGTATCTTCCACATACACGGCCTAAAGATAATTGCCTGGCAAGAATCAAGAGACACCGATCTTCTTCTGTGTGAAGACAAAGGGAATAAGAGACACTGAAAATGCCAAATCTTCTTCTTTGCGAAGAAAAATAAAAGGGGAATAAGAGAAATTGAAAGCCAGTCTTCTTCTTCATCCACGAGTCAGATGTCCCTAATGAAAATATAGTTTTCAGTTTGTGGATGAACACTACTTTCTGCTTGTACTACGTCAAAGGAAAAGGAAACTAAATTCAGATGCAAAGAAGAAAATGAAAATTAGACATTGTAACCACTAGGATCAAGAAAAAGTGAAAAACTGTGTACCATATTCACCCTCTAAAATTTCAGTGCACATACTGTCTTCCTCCTAGCTGAATTGAAAAAACCTTATTACTACTACTTAGCTGAGACTTGCGAGCTCTGGGTCTGCAAGTGTAAAAGAGTAGTGGCTTTAATCTCCCACTAATCCAATAATAAGATCTCTTAACTAAACGAGTACAAATAATTTATCCACAGAGATTGCTTTCTTTCCAGCAAGCCAAACTACATTCCTTCAATTTTTTTTCCCTCTTGGACCGTCTACCTTAACCATGATCAACACAATCGTAAGTTAATACATATGCAATTCTCCACCAACCAAAGCATTTCATTCACAATTCACTAGTAAATTAAGTCACATATAACTAAGAAATGGGCAGTATCTCAACGAAACAAGTTATTGCCCAACCCACCCAGGGTTGATTCAATGTGCACAACCCATGTTTCTCATACTTACAGCACCGCTCATCCTTCTCGCAATCCCAGTAACTCCGGTGTGCTTTCAATTCCTTATCTATTTCTCCCAATCAAAGAGTTGTCTTCATCATCTTAAATTCCATTGCGATGAGCCACACTTTAAAAATCACCGAACTCTGCCTGTGCGTAATTCTTGCCTGCCGAGTGCACACAGAGAAAAATGTCTTGGAAATGGTCACTCAATAATAAATTACCCACCCAAAAGATTCTCCCAAAACATGCAGCACTTTCCTCCCATCATCTATCTTCCATTACCCATTATTTATTCTATACATATCCCTCCACCAAATTTAATCTAGTCCTCCACCCCACTCACCTAATATTTTTAACATGGATACTCCTCTTCTACTCATGCCCCTTTCTCCCAATATGAAAATTTAAACTTGAAAGCTTTAGTGTGTGTCTATATATACATATATTTGATATTTATAATTAAAATATCTCAAAATTAATTTTTACATAACTCAAAACTAAATTTTTTTTGCAAAATCTTAAAATTACATTCCTACTCCAACTTGATATATTTAAAATTTTATTTTTTTTAAATACTGTCCTTTAAATTTTAAATTTTAAACTTCACTTATAAAACAATTAATTAGTAATAAATGCATCCTTTTTAGGGCCGAGACCTTCAGTATATGAATGCTGAAGCTGTTGAGGTAATTGGCGCAAGCACTTGGGAACAAAATGCTTAGTACCCTGGACCCTTACAGAACCCCCTCTATTTCCTCTCTCCTGTCCTTGTCCATCTTCCTCACCCTCAAAGTTTTTTTTTAATTCTTAGTTTTGTCCTTATTTCTTTATTTAAATATATTTCCTTCTTTTAATGAACAAGACTCACAGAAACCCACCCGTTCTCATGGATTCAAACTCTCTCACCCTTATGGCCTCTCTCATCTTCTTCTTCATTGTGCTTTTCCATACCACTGCTGTATCCTTAAACCCTGCAGATCTTGCTGCCCTAGCAGCCATCAAGGACACCCTCACTGACATTCCGGGCACCCATTTCTTATCTACATGGGACTTCACTTCACCCGATCCCTGCTCCTCCTTCTCCGGC